TTTCTATATTATCTCTTGTTGAAAGTATGAAGATTCCTTGCTCATATGGGGGTGAGTGGGTAAGGGGTCTGAAGAACCTCCTATTTACTTATTAACTAGGCAAGGGTGTGGTATCTTTCTTATTCCCCATGGGGGTGGGGGCTTGCAAAATAAACTCCCTACTAAGAAAGACCTTCCTTTTTGATTTTGAATAGCCCACTACCCTTAAGTTTAGAAACCTTTCTCATACCCTCTCCCCCAAGCCTCTTAATGTTGAAAGGAATGCAGGCTTGCAAGGGGCCTGCACAATCCCTGCCCCCTTGTCATGCCCACATGGCCAGGATGCTAGACTGTTAGCATTGGGTTGTAAGTGCCATACCAGCTGAAAAAGGTATTCTGGCTAATGGTATTTGATCCTGCAAATATGTTGGTGAATCTACATTGAAAAAGTGTTTTTTTATAAACGGGTCAAATAACTCACAAACGATGAATGTGTGGAAAATGTCACATATACTAGTAATATATAAAAACATAATTCAATAATCGGATCAGCTCCTAGCTACAGTGAGGACCGCAGGCAAGGTAGACTTATAGTGAATGTGAGAGCTGTTACCTGATCTACACTACCTTCCCTATCCTCTGTCGGTTGCTGTTGGTATGTATTGCCTTTGAACCTCCTAGTTCTTTTGGGTTTTAGAGCTGTGAAGCCTAACTTTTTGGTCAGTGGATGAGGCTTTGCTCACTCAGCCACCAGGGGGCAGTATTAATCCAGCTTCTGCTAATCATTCTTTTCCATAAAGAATACACATGTATAGTATATTCCTTAAAGGTCAGTGCCATTACAAATGGAAGTTTCCGGAAATGTACTGTTTTTCTGGAATTAATATCTAATTTATTCTATTATGGTCAAAAAGCAATGTGCTTTCTATTTATTACTTCTATTCTTTCTCTTTTCCACACTACCAAGTCATTTATTTCAGTTACAGGGAACATTTCCTTTAGTGTGCATGTTCAAAATGAATGTACAGTATTTAAAAAAATATATATATATATTAGGGCTGTTACTGATTAAAATTTGCGTGTTCGATTAATTGAACACGCAGAGGGCACCTCCCTGAAAATACTTTTCTGAGGTTGGGATCCCTGTAATAGGCTAGGAAAGAGTACATTTGCCTCTATAATAGACTAGGAAAGAGTTAGTCAATGCTGTGTCTTTGCTGTGTCACTGCTAAGGAGATTCATTTTCTATATTTCTTCTAGAGATAATTGTCACTGAAACTGAGGGAAACAAATCTAAATTTTGAGTTGCCACTGGAACAGTGGAAATCTTTCAATAGGGACACTTGTAGTGTGACATTTATCAATGAGAAGATTTCTCTAACTTTGGAGAGATTTCCTCATACCTCCTAGTGTGTTCAGCACAGGAAGTAAAGGGAAATATATCCAATGGAACACAAATATTAAAAAATAAACCTGAAAGGAGTTCTAATCCTTCCTTAACTACACCAAGTTAATTTAGTTTAAAACACTGACCTTAGTTATACTTTAACATTTTAACTTAAGTCTTAACATAACTCTGAAGCTTCTATACTTATCACTTTGACTTTAATATTAAACTCACAATCTAAATTTTACAATAATTTATACTTACACCTCTAGTTACCTATAACTGTTGACTTTATCCTCAACTCCTAGCCTTAACTTCAACCCCTGAATAGGTTAAACTTACCTTTCTGGTGTGGAAAATAATGGCATTAAATCCTCACAGTTCTGTGCTCGATGCAATGATGCTGTATGTCCTGAGCCAAATAGAACTAAGCCGAAGGATCTAGCCGTAGCTTTGGCTGATCCTTCGGCTAGCTTCGGCCCCAGGACCCCTTCGGTTCAGTAGAACCGAATGGCTGCTGTACGGGCTATTCACCATAGCCCGTACAGCTCCCGAAGTCGGACGAGCGGCTCAGTCGAGCCGAAGGCATATGCTTCGGCTCGACGGAGCCGAGGTGAAAACCAGGGACACTGATCTCCAGACAGCCCAACTCTCCCGGACGCTCCTGGAGTTTCGCGCTATTAGATAGCGGCTCCCGCCACCTGGGAGAGAAACAATTTATCCGGGAAAGTTTTACTTTGCTCGATCGAGCAGAGTCAACCTTTCCCTGCTCAGTTGTCTTTTTAAAAAAATCTGACATCGGAGCCGTTGGCTGCCGTCAGAATACAATTTTTAAAAAAGCACCATAGGAATGCATAGCTACATTCCTATTGGCTATTTCAATTTGCAATAGCCAATAGCAAACCAGCTATTGCACCCGCCCACTGGTACTGTAAATCAGCAGAGGGGACCTGAAGTTCTCCATCAGGTCCCCTCTAGTGATTGACAGCAGCAGATGGCGGGTGCAATAGCTAGTTTGCTATTGGCTATTGCAAAGTGAAATAGCCAATAGGAATCTAGCCATGCATTCCTATGGTGTTTTATTTTTTATTCTGACGGCAGCAGAACTGCCGGCCAATAGAAAATAGTTGGGCGAAGCTAGCAGTCACTGCTAGCTCCGCCCAATCGTTTTCTATTTGATTTTTTCTACTTTTTAACCAGTTGACATCCGCGGTGTTAAACCCCCTTCCCATCCAGGCCATTTTTCAGTATTCAGCGCTGCGGTACTTTGACTGACATTTATTTCGTCATGCAGCGCTGTACTGAAATGAATTTTATACCCTTTTTTGGGGACAGATAGAGCTTTCTTTTGGTGGTATTTATTCACCACTGGGGGTTTTATTAGGATCGGCTAAGTCGAACTCCTTCTGCACTTTGGGTTGGCCGAACATGCTGAGCATGTTAGGCGGACACGAAGCCACACGAAGCAAGCCGATGTACAGCTGATTTCATATCAGCTGTACATTATATGGCTGAAATCAGTCGTACAAGCCTGAAGTGAATAGCCGAACACTGCGAACAGTTTTCGGGTCGGTTGTTCACTCGGCTGCCTACGGCAGCTTAGTGAATAGACCCCAAAATGTTGAAATCTTTACATCAGCATTGCTTTGCAGAAACCCATTCATTTTACTTTTAGCATAATTTAAAATTGTTTTCCCATTGAAAATAATGTGAACTTCTTTGCATTCCATGTTCACAGTTAGATCCATTTACATAGCAGTGAACACTGGGACCTGCCATACAGTAATAATGTTGTTTCTACAGATCAAATTGTGGTGGAAATTTCTGTCATGTGACTACCAGTAAAGGTCTAAATCAGGGCTCAAAATTTCAAGTCCTGAGCTACAAGCCAGGCCTTAAGAGTTACTCGCCACCAGTTGCCCCACCTAAACTAAATCATAGGACATATCTCAGTGAAATACTGTAAACAGAGAACAATACCTTCAAGCCTTAAGTGACAACATATCTCCCCGCTCTCCAGCATCCTCATTGGCCAGAGCAGATCGTGTTATTTCAAGCCACAGCAGATAAATAAACAGAATGAGAGATCTGATGCATTATGTTGTTTTTAATAGCTACATTATAAGCATGGGCAATGAAAGTTATTTGCTTTGGTCATTATATGCTTTGAAATATCTAATGATTAAAGATTGATAACCAATGACCATACAAGTGGTGGCTGTGTGATACCTTGTTGATCTTCCTTGTAATCTGAAAATTCAACAAGCAAGCCAGGCAGCTGGATGAGCTACAAATGAACTAGGTGAACTGTAAAATGTTATAGTTGCCTAAATATTCGCAAGCAGGAAGGTATGATCTATGGAAAATTGTGCAATCCTGATTTATCAATTGCATTCTCCACAAATTGGGCAAATCTGCCTGCATGTATTGAGGTCGAGTCAAACAGTTTGCAGATGGTTGGATTTCCTGATTTGCAAACTGAGTCACTTAACTAAACATATCACATTTGGCCAGTTGCACCTATGGACAAAACATATGCAGGCCACCATACATTAAATGGGCCCCTCTTCAGCTAGATGGAACAGTTAGGGCATCATACAGCTTGCCTCACTACTTCTCATCTACCCTAACAGTGGACCAGTAGGGGGTACCAGCACTCATGAGCTAACAGCGTTTGTAAATGTGCCCCTAAATCTAGAGGACCCCTTTACACAACTGGTGCACTTGCTTCTGAGAATGCAAGTTAGGTTATCTGAAGTTCTACTGATATGTTTACTGTATTCCTGTACAAGGGTCATTGACTTAGAAAGTATTACGTTTGGAAACAGTCAGGCAACCAGCATAGAAGAAGCCTAGAAATATCAGCCACCACGATTCTAAGTACAGGTATTTCTTATAAAGACTGTGCCCCTCCAGATCAGTCCAGGTCAACTCGCATCTATAGTGCATGTACAATTCTATGGAAGTCATTGAAGTATTTAATTGCCTTGTGAGCAGACCTTGCATGGACACATCTTACCATCAAAACTTTATTGCAATAAGAAAGAAGAGATCATAATGTATGTGGCCAGTATTATGCAAAGAACAGAAAGGTCTTGGCTGCAGAGAGTAGAATTAATCATGTCCTTTAATCTGTCACCACAACCTGGGCTGCCAGCTATCTGTTCTGCCTTGAGCTTCTACCTCCAGCTGTGAATATGTTAATACTCTTTCCGTGTCTGATTTCCCTAAGATCATACTAGCTCTCTCTTCGCCCCTCCTCCCTTCTCTCTCTGCTCCCAGCCCGTGTATTGATATGCTATGAGCAGCACGTTAGTAAATAGCAAAGGCAGTTCCAGCGTGCCAAGGAAAAGGATGGATCTCCTCCACTGTGTCTGCTGGCTGTCGGCACATAAAGGATCCCCCAGCCCACCAGCTGATCAGTCCAACCAACACAAGTGCTGATGTGAGACACAGAATTCGGGCTATGGACGGTGATCTCTCCATTGTTCATCAGCATCTGTAAGGAAGAGGAGCCGGGAAGACTGTGCACACACTCAGCCTGCGGAGCCTCTTCGGGTCTCCTGTTCTTCTTCCTCCTCACAAAGTGCAATGGACTTGTTTGCTGGATCGGACTCCCCGTGTCTTACCTGAGATGCTGCATGCTCATCCTCAGCTCCAGTCTGTTTATTGGGGATGCGAAGAGCCCCGAGGATTATGATGGGCGCCAATCACTCGCACAAAACTCCGGTGTTTGACGAGAATGAAGACGGTAAGGAGCTCTCCAAGGTACCTGCGCTGGCCGGGGTGCTGAATCCTCAACTCATCCCGCTGCTTGGCTTGTCATGGCTTGTACAGGGCAACTCATGGAGTCCCAGATGTTGGGGGATCTACACATCTAAGGGTACCCCACTATTACTGGATAGCAGAGCATGCTGACACTTGTAGTACCCTAACAACTGGAAGACTGCAGACACTTCATAACTGTTGTCCATGACTGGTTTATGTAGCTCTTTCTTAACTGACTTACATCATAGTTGTAATAATGATGGTAATAATAATAATAATAATAATAAATTGTAATACAGTTTAGGAAAGGTTCTCTTTTATTCAGGTCATGGTATAGCTAGTAGTCATTAGCCACATTTAACTGGACTTGTTCTGTAATGTTGATGATGTTTGGCCACTCATTTATTGTTATTATTTTGTATTATTCAATTTATGGTAGTAGTGCTACTACTACTACTACTACTACTACTAATAATAATAATAATATATTATCATACAAATTGGGAAGGTTGTCATTAATTCAGGCCATGGTATAGCTAGTAGTAATTAGCCACATTCAACTGGACTTGTTCTATAATTTTGAAGATGTTTGGCCACTCATCCAAGTAGCTTTCTAATTTCTAAGAAGTGTCAGAATCAGCTGCAGATAGTTTATGACTGTAGTCCATGACTCTTTTATATAGACCTTCATTAACTGACTTATATATTATAGTAGTAGTAATATTGTTATTATTTCTACAATTTATTGTAGTAATAATAATAGTAATACAATTATAGAAAAAATTAGTAAGGTTCCCATTTATCCAGGCCATGCTAAAGCTAGTAGTAGTTAGTCATATTCAGCTGGGCTTGTTCTGTTGTGCTGAAGATGTTTGGTCACTCATCCAAGAGTGTCAAGAACATACTCCAGCGTTATAGCCACAGATCTAACTCAGTCACCTTCATTTAATCATCATGAAATGTGTTAGGCACATGTTGATTGTCCATGAACATAATGGCAAGTGTGGAAGCTTGTGAAACTACCCTGTCCTAATTGTAATTTCACACTTGCTACTGAAGATGAATGAGTTCCCCATGTGGCTATAAATGCTCCCAAGACTCTTTGATCTGAGGAAGCTATGTGGATGAGTAGCGAGAACTCTTCAACCAGTCCATTAAGCTCAGTTGAATGTGGTTTCCTACTACTTGCTAATAATAACTATATTATATTATAAATATGAATCTGCTTCTACTACTAACACTAGAACACCTCTACAACTTACCTCTACAACTCACCATTAGGGATGAGCGGAGTAATTTCTGCAAGATTATGTATTTCACTGTTGGCAAAATTTGGTAGAAGTGAAAACTCTTGTTTTGCTCATTAAGCTGGTCTTGAAAAAAATTACTCTTTTATAACTATTTTTGGAGGGTGCTATTATTTGTTTTAATGGTGAGGGGTGTTTTATTTAGTTTAGTTTCTATCATTTATTTGTTGGTTTTTTTTTTATATTTTATTGTTATTTCTGTACTGTTGCTTCTAATTTTAACTTTTTTCCACTGTCTGCTTTTTTTTTTCTTTCCATGAAAAAGATAAAATAATGAGACTAGTAAGAAGCATTTTTCAGCTGAAGTACCGTACATATTCAGGATTGCTAAAAGGAACTTCCATCGCCCTCAATAGACATTTAAAGCTAATTGCACACTTACAAACCAACAAAAACCACCCTAATTATGCCTTCACCATTGGCTCCAATGCATTTCGTCCAAAAGATTTTAGCAGGTCTCTAGATATGTCAGCATGTTTTGAACTGTAGAAGGAAATCAAGGTACTGTAAGGAAGTACAAACGCCATGTAAAAAGTCCAGCAGGTGCCTTTATTTTACCAAGCCTGTGAGTGTCCAAATTAATGTTATGATGTAAGGCAAAGTTACATTGTAATGCCATGTATAATAATAGAAATGCCTTGTATTAAATGGTAAAAATACTAAGCATTCTCTTAATGGCTGATGTGTGAGTGACCTCCTGTGTATTCAGAGCAGAGGGGAAGCTGCTTATCACAGCACCATACAGGACCTACCTGGGAGATTGCTGTCAGTAATGTAATAGCTCTGGGTACTATAGTGCTTTAGAGGATGCCCTTGGGCTGCTTAGATATGACATGCACCTTTACATTCGACCAAGCTGGACCAATGTAAGTATGCATGATAAGTTATACCTAGTGTTTAGCTTTAACTTTGCAGCACCAGAAAACTCACCAATAAGTATGGAATAGAGTTTTATCTGAAAATCTGTAATCTCTTCAGACCAAGCCAATTATCACATGACTGGTCTAACTTGCACAGTGTTACTGGAGCCTTCTGAAAATCCTGTGCAGATTCCAGGTTTGTGAAAGTCAGTATTTGTTTCAGGCTGGACAATACCTCCCCTTCCCATGTGATAGTGTTTGGGATGGATAATAGGTTGCTCTGCACTGACCACTGCATTGTGTGAAATTGCAGGGAGTTGCCTCTTGCAGGACGCTCCAACAGCTCAACAGGGGGAAGGGGTGCTTTAGGGTGCACCTTGCACCTCAACTGTAGTACTTACAGGTTTCCTTGTAAAGAAGATGAATTTCCATCATGTCATAGGTCTGTTGGTGAAAGCTGTTGAATTGTCCATTACAAATCTTACTGTGAATGGCAGAATATTAATGGAGACACAAAACATACATCAGCTTAAAGTTAGGAAATGCCAGAGAGCATGTGTGACACATTCCTAGAAAACAGATCCATAAGTGACTGTATTTCACCTCATATAGAACTAGGCTGAATACATTGTAACATTTAGAAACCTAAGAAACTGAGGCTACGGTGAATAAAAAGCATAAACAGAGGGAGTTACAGCAGAAATTTAGTGAACTTCACATAATAAGGTAAATTAGATTAAGAGATACTAGCAGGGGAAGTTTTAGGTAAACCTTTACTTCAAGAGCTCAGCTTGTCTTGCCCCCTCCAGCCTTTTACTAACCCATAAGGGAATCTTGGGAAGTGGAGTTGGTAGTGGTGATGGGGTAATAAGGTTAATTTGTCAGGAAACGTCAAGATTTGCATATAACTTTAGTTGTCTCCAGATCTGCTGATTGTTTTGAGATGGGAGTTTCTCAGATATGTGATACATTTACTTTAATTTCTTTAAGTATATATGATAGGAACCCTTGCTAAAGATAACAATTATATTTGATTTTAAAAATATGTATTTAGCTCCCTTTATTTCCATTGCATATGCCAGCCTCTGTGGTGTTCTGCCACATTCCACAGACACTGGCAGGGAGGCAGGATAAGTGTTGATATTACATATCACTGGTATGTGTGGTATAATGTTGAAAGAGGTCCTACTGCTAATCTGGATGGCACAGTACTAAGGTGGCTAATAAGGCCCACAACCTTCAGCGTTGTACATTCTGATCAGAAGTAGGGATGAGCTTCGGGTTTGGGTTGACCATGGGTTGAGCCCAGACCCACGCTGGTCACTTTGGCAATCAATTTGGCCAGCTGTCCTGCCTACTGAATCTCCCCCTCTGTCTTAGCAACAATGGCGCTGTGTGTCTGAACCACACAGCGTCACTGGTTGATGGACACAGGCAGGCTCACCATAACAACCTATGGCACTGTAGGGCAGCTAGATTCTTAGCAACCAATGAAATGTGTGGGTCGCAGAGTGTCATTGGTTGATAGGACACAGACGGCCCTGGGTTTAGTTTGCGTGGACAGTTGTTGAAACCATATTTTAGACTGGGTTCAGAGAACATCCATGTGAACTAAACCCAGGCACATTTGGCTCATCACTAATCAGCAGTGACAACAGAAATAGTCCCACCCCATGATTTTGCATACACTGTGTGTGTATGTTTGGTGGGGGAAGGGCGGGGGCAGTGCACATTTTGTGACATTTAGCCAATAAAAAAGGACACAGTTATGTTTATACTTTGCCTAGAGTTCTGCGTTTATATTTTTGAAGAACGACTCCGGGGAGAATAAAAATGAACCCTTGCAGTGGGGCTACCCCTGCACTGCAGGGGTTAAGTGCTCGTCTTGGTTCAGGGTGTAAAATAAAAAATATATACTCACCTGATCCTCAGTCCCACCTGACTGCCTGAGCTGTCCCAGCAGCTTCTTCTACCCCCGACTTCAGCAGTCTAAAGACCCGTAATCATGTCTATTCACTTGTATTGGATGTGAGGATGCGGAGGGACATTCCACAACCCGAGCGGAGTGGGAGATAGGTGAGCTGTCACTTCCGTGGGACTAGTGGCTGGGTGAGTGTATCTTTGTTTATTTTACACCAGACCAAAATGAGCACTTAACCCTTGCAGTGCGGAAATAGCCCCACTGCAAGGGTTAATCTTTATTCTGCCTGGTGTTCTTCTTTAAAGAAATGAGCCTCAATGCGTTTCAATGAATACTAATATATTTGACTCAGTAGGAAGTATATGTGAACTATTAGTATGATTGCTATTTTTATTATTTACGGCACCGCTGTTATGAAATTAAAATATTAATTGCACTCGTTAAGACTCACTTATGAAAAGATAATTGATTTCAATTATTTTAGAAGGTACCAGCTGCTAAAGATTGTAGAGATCGGGAATTGTTTTTATTGGAGGTTTATGCAAAAGGTTTAATATTATGGGATGTTGGAGCCTAATAATATACAATGAGAAAAGATTGCCTGGCTTAATCCCTGTCGCCTGATATGAAACTATTTAAATGCATGCAGGCAGGATTTGCTTTGTCGATTTCTCACCTCTTCAATTCCCTTCTACAAAGTTTCTTGAATGAAGAAGAAAATGCCATAGGTGTAAGAATATACATTGTAACATGATTTCACCAGACCCAAATCCTCTGGGATTATGGGAAAGGTCGGCTAGTCATCATAATACGGATTACCTGTATCACTGAGTAGTGCCTGAAATAGGTTATTATCGAGACGTGAACATGCTAGGTCCTATTTATACATTAATCA